GGGTCAAATGGCCATTTACTTGGATCAGAGATGGGCTGAAGCAAAAGTTATGAGAACTAAAACATTTGGTGGAGGTGAGTTATAGTGAAGCAAGGGAATAAAGAGTAAACCAGGGTTAAGGGAACTGTGTTAGTTATAAATATTTTATGCCACAAACATGCTTCTATATAAATTGCTTTGAATTTCTCCATCTATTTTGTTGAACTACTAATATTTCCACTTCACTGCAACCAAGTATATCTATGATTTATATTTTGAATCAAAAGTAGAGATTTACCCCAAATTGTATAGCTTGCCCTCATTAGTCTTGTCTTCCAGTGTTTGTTTACGAGACCTGTTTTCTAAAACAGTATAAACGTTAGATGTCAATGTTTTAATATTGGACAATGTGATGTTACAAAGGAGTTGTTTTTCTTCTGTTATTGTTCAGTTCAGTCATCTTCCTATGTCCTTAAACCTTATTAAGTATTTGTTATTTCATTTTCCTCTCTGTGGTTTTTTGTGGGTTTTTTTTGTTTTATTTTTTGCCATTTCCCTTAGAACATTAGAGTCTTTGTTATTGGTTTCTAAGAGATCATTTATGCCTGAGGATGTTAACCGTTTGCCATGCCTTGCAAATGAAGTACCGTGGTTTCTTGCCAACATTTTAGTGTGATGTTTTACTTTTTGGTTGCAGAAAAGTTGTGTATTGAAATATAATAATGTTCTGCATTTAAAAAAAAAAAGGAAATCAGAAGTGGGGAAATGAAATTTGACCAAAAAAAAAATTATAGGGTTTGAGGATTTGTGTATGGAACTCAGAGGAATGGAGTAGCTGATTTGAACTTTTGGATCTCTCTGGTTGTGGTGGGACAAATAACCTGGGGGATAAGAAAAGAAAGAAAAGTGGTGAAATGGAATTGTACACAGTGATAGAAGAGCTGGAGAATTTGCAGGAGACTGAGGGTTATGATGCAAAGGTGGAAGGAGCTATGAAGCATGGGTTGGATAAGAGAGTGTAGGCAAGGGGACTGTCACCAACAGAAAACGCCTTTGGAATATAGCACCCTGTGATGAGGGCTGAGCAGGCATCATAAAGGTGCATCATCTGACCTCGGAATGGATGTAGTTGGCGAGGCTGAGCTGTAATTGGCCCTAAGCCAGGACGGAGTTAAGCTGTAGTTGGCTGGTGGGTGGCAGACTGGGTTGATGATCAGACAGGGAGGAGACTCACATACACCCAGAGGTGGGACTTGACCCCTTGCCAGCTTGAGATGAAAGAGGCCAGCTCTTTGTGCTCATGAAGTAAGTGAGCAACAATTAGCATCTGGCCGCTCTGGCTCTTATTTTCTAAACTGAGAGCGTTCAGATTGCCTTTGCAATGACCTGCATTCACCACAGGAAGCCCTATAACTCACGTCGCCCGTGCTTTGCTCCGCAATTTGCCTTGCTTGATGTGCAGGGAGATTGAGTAAGTCAGAGCAGCAAGTCCCCCCTGGAAGGCCTGTGGAGCTCAGCACTGACACTGCATTTCGTGTCCCTTTGCAGCCATTTACTACGTGTAAAGGCCCATTCATTCACCCTAATGTGGACTTTCCAAACCCCTTGCAAGGTGTTCTTTTGAGGTTTCTTATTCTCCTAGGTGTTGATGCGAAGTGTCTGTTTTGAAGTAGATCCAAAAAATCCGTAAGTGGAAGGTACTCTATAGCTGTCTTCTGCCACTGTGGCTCTACAACTTATAAAAAGTGAAGTGTGTTATTTGAAACATCACTACCTCCTATTTTTTAAAAGTTCCCCTTGGTGTTTTTGTTGTTTATTTAAAAAACTTTGGCTCTGTGGCTGGTAACACCAACTGAAATGACCAACGTTCAGACATATTTATTAGTTGTAAGAAGAACTTTGCCTCTTTGCAGAAATGTACGGAAAATATATATTATTTCCTACTTGTGAATAAAGTTTTACTACAAAATCATGACAAATATAAGATGTTGTAATTACATGGTTTGTTCCTTCATGAGCATAGTGGATGGCTGATGTTGTGACAGGCCTTTTTGGTGGACCAGAGGAAGGCCAATGAGTTTTCTCTGAGAAGTTTCCACCGGCTGAGGATAGCACCAAATGACATAGCTATGCTATAGGTGTGATTGGACATTTCATTTCTGACATTTCTGACAGCAAAAAAAAAAAAAAAAAAAATGTCAAAAATGAAATGCAAATCTTCCCACAGGGGAAGAAAGAGAAGCTGTCACTTCTCAGGCAGCTTCTGGAATTAGGTTCGAATTTTCTCCTGCTGGGATTTTTGCCCACTGGTGTTAAAAATTATTGGCAAATAATATTTTAGTGACAAACTTGATTTTTAACAGCTCCATGGTTTCTCTTGGAAAAAAAAAATCTGAAGATCTAAGTACTTGGATTCATCTTCTTCCACGTCAGCCATCAACTGGAGCCGGACAGAACTGCCTCCTTCAGGCAAGTGCTTCCTCTCAGGCTGCCCTTCGTCCCGGCTTTGCTTCTTCATGTGGTCTGCCTGGTTCCCGCAGGACCCAGAGTGTGTGACTCAGATTTCAACTTTGTAGGTGGATGACTCAGAACTCTGCGCCCCAGTTCCAGTTCCCATCCAGCTTCTCTTCCCATCTGTAGTATTTTATCTATGTTTTCTTTCTGCCCAAAAACTCTGCTGACACCCAAATTACAGCCTGCTACACGTTGTTTCATGATTTCCTTCTTGCCTTCTCTTCCCAACTCCACTGCCATCCTCCTTGCTCTTTCAAAGGTGAGTTGTTACTGAATCTTCCTCTTTGGCTTCCATACCCAAAGGCTACCAAGAGTTACTTCTTCCTTCCTGGTGCGCTTTCATCCGCCCACACTCCCCACACTCTGTCTCTCCCTCCGCCTGCCATCCCAATGCAGGTGCAGTCGCTCCAGACTGATGTTGGCACCAGCCTCCCAGCAGCTTGCCTTAGTTCCAGTTTCTGCTCCTGTCTGTTTCCCAGACAGGGACAAGAATAGGCATAAGCAAATTCCATCTTTATTTTGTCACTTTCCCATTCAGAAAGCTGCAGCGATTTCCCATCTCTCATTACACCAAATGGAATTCACTTTTCTGTTTTCCCAAGGCTTCCCCTGTTGTCCCACATATCCATTTTTACCAACTAAAGTTTATATTTTTCTGGGCTTGAATTCATCCACATCTCTTTGCTGGCTGGTTCCCATTCTATAGGTCTTAGCCGATCTGAATCTTCCCTTCTTTGCTAGTTCCAACCTCCTGTGATATCCAGCCCATATTCTACCTCCTCCTCAAAGCATACTCTTGCTCATTCTAATAGATCTTAATTACTCTTTTGCTCTGCATTCTGCCTAAACTTGTACATTGGGGTCAGCAGAATGGATTGACTCTGCTGCCTTAGGTCTTGCTGAGCCTCCATTACCCAAATTGCAAACAAGGCATTAATCAAAATACTGGTCTCCTTGGATTGTTCTGATTAAATGTGATAATAAGATAAAAATGCCTAGCACTTAGCAATCCATAAGCCGGTATCGCAGAGAACATCTCCAGCCGCACCACATGCCTACGAAGTTGAATTATGTAGTCCTTGAAGGAGACAATCTGGTTTTGCTCATCTTTGTACTCTGATGTCTTATAAAGTGCTGAACATGTATTAGTTATTCAACAATTTTTGTTGAAAAATGAAGATAGGATGTGATCATGAATTGATTACAAAGATTGATTATCGTGATTACTACTGATGTTATATCATAAGTCTTTGCCATCACACCGTGAGCAGGAATATGTATAGTAGTTAGCACAGTATGTTTCTCAGCTGTGTGTGTTCCTTGGGAAGTGTGTCTTAGGGTGACTACAGGTTCTTGATTACCTACCTTCTAAAGGCAGTGGCAGGAAGTTTGAAGCATTTTTCACTGTTTTGTGTTCTTTGGTTCTTTTTTGCCTTTCATTGCTCTGTCATCTACTGAGGGATTAATTATATATTCATCATAGCTGCATATAAATAATATGGAAATTAATACTCATGACATTTACGGATGTTTGTGTGTGTGTGTGTGTTTTCTTTATTTTAGGAATTTGGGTCAGAGAGGGTTTCTTCATTTCTCAGTGTTTCCCTTTTCTTAGTTTCCAATTCAGAGCACAAAAGAAACAAATATAATCATTGGCAATTTGGTGAGTCTTTTCCAAACTCATTTTACTTGCAAATATTTCTGGCACCCTCACCACCGGTATCACCATCCCCATTAATGTTAAAATTAAATTTCATCCAGATAAACTTCCCCAAGAACTTGCCATGGTGTTAGCTACTGTTTCATGTGTTCATAAACATTTTTGGGCCACAGAAAGTGCCAGGATAAGTATAATCACATTCAGTATGCAAATCAAGCTTTTATAGAAATAGGATTGTACTGGAGATGAAATTAATTGTGACAGTTCGGGATGAATTTTACAGAAAAAGAAGATTAACACGTTAGGTCTTTAGCGGCTGTCTTCCCTGATGCATATGATTTTAGGCGAAATGAAATCTCTGTGCCCAGTCTCAGTGGAGACATGGTTATTGAGTCCATAGATATTTGAGCAGGACACATCTCTAAGGGTTCATGACAGCCTGTTTTCTTTTCTCAGTGTGGGGATGAATTGGTTCATTTTCATCTGAATTGGGAGTCATGGTGAAGGTGCTTTTTTGATTCTCTTGTTTTTTTTTTATTTGTTAAGAAACTTGTACAGAAAATGTCTTGCTTATTCTGAGGTTGCTATGATTCTTACCACCAGCAGAGACTATACCATTGTATTGTTTCAAATATTTATAAATACATAAATTTTGGGAAGTATTTATGTAGCGTGAGACCTAATTTGTTTCTTTGATTCTTCGACATAGGCTAAGTAATACAACCTGCTATGGTCAAAAGTCACATTTTCAAGCTTTTGAATGTTTTGTTTTTGTTTTTGTTTTTTGCAGTGATAATACAGAAAAGTTATTTTTATGCATTCACATTTTTTTTTCTTTTCTTACAAGGAAACCAACATGTCTGACAAAAGTGACTTAAAAGCTGAGCTAGAGCGCAAAAAACAGCGCTTAGCACAGATAAGAGAAGAGAAGAAACGGAAAGAAGAAGAGAGGAAAAAGAAAGAGGTAAATACTGGTTATTGGGGTGTTCCAGCGAACAAGGAAAATCATTTGATTCTGAGGGGCCAGTCAAAAGGATACAAAGAATGCTCTAGAAGAATCCTTTTATGATTTTTGAATAAAATGAGTGGATATCTACATACTCAGACTCCTAAGGTCATTGTCACCTGCTATGTACTGCTGGTCAACCATCACCCATGGGCCAGAGGTACCCAAGCCCAGGTTCACCCCAGACTTGAGTAGAACGCTAGAAGTGGTCTGTGAAATCTCTACTGTTAGATATTTCTTAACCTTTCTGTAACTTGGTTTCTTATCCTTAAAATGGGAATAGTAATAGATGTTTTTTGTGGGGTTGTGAGAATTAAAAGAGTTAATCTTATAAAGCACTTAGTAGTACCCAGGTTCTGCTTAGTGTTTAATATGTGTTAGTTTTAAGAAAAAAAAAAGTTATAAAAAAAAAATACCAGCAGGACATTTTAGGAGAAAAATACAAAAATAATGCCAGTGGATTTCCATGGCTTCCTAAGGGGTATGAGCTTTTCAGGGTAAAACAAGGATTGTAGATCTGACAGAAAGAAAGCTGCATTTCCCTCCCTTGGTGAAAGGGTAGATAGGATAGAAATAGACTCTGCTCCATGGACATAGAACTATGACATGTTAAGGCTAGGAGAGATTTCAGAGACTTTCCACTGAAACCCTTCTTTATGTCAACAAAGCAACAGAAACCCAGGGATGAAATGTAGCTTTTCTGTCTGTCACACCCAGATTCCAGGGCTCTTGCTCCTCAATTCTGTGTATTGCCGGCATATCATGTTTTCTTCTACTATCTCCATCCAACAGATGATTTATTTTTAATTCTCCAATTTGTCATGGTTGTGCGGAAATAGCCCACGTCTTGGACAAAAACCAGATGCCAAAGGTAGTTTCGAATAGCTTTTTGAGAAGGAAACTTCATATAGTGTGATACACTTTGTGTGTTTAGAAACCAGAGCAGCTTCCGTACTCCAGAGCTCTTCTGTAAGGAAAGAGAAAATGTGTTTTGGTGCCTTCCAATCTAAGTAAGTGTTGTTTCGTATGATAAGGCGGGGAGGCCAAGGTAATAGATTTGTAACAATTATTTTTCAACAAAGGAAAACATAATTGCCATTGCGTTTTAGCCTTCTGGCATCTCGCATCTCTCTGTTCCATTACACTTTGATTGAAGCCCTGGTTTATTTTGTCCTTGACCGTGCACATAACATTTTTCTCTTGGAGATCTTTGCTGTGATATATGCAGTCTTTGAGTGAGGCAGAGGTGAGAATTGACAAGGAATGGCTATTCATTTCCACGCAGAGCCAAAAAAAGCATTTGGTCATTATGCTTCCTTTCCTTCAAATGTCGACACTTACTATAGTTTTAAAGCACCTGTTATCCTTTACTAATAACCAGTTTCCTTTTAAACTGACATTCTAATATCCAACTTGAATTTCATAGAATTACTACAAAATGTGATGTGGTATAGGAAATCTGGCTCCAAATTATGCTGTCTGCTTCATCTTTGTCATTTTACACATTTGGGAGGAAATTACAGGCAAACAAGACTGATCGAAACAGGCCACCCTTTTTGTTTCTGTACCAAGCAGCTTTGCCTGATGGAGATTGGGTCTGTTACACAACAGACGGAGCCCTGGGAGAGGGGCAGTGGCAGGTGGTAGGACGCGTGTTACACCTGAACTCTTCATATTCTTGGGTCTAGAATTAAAGTCACATAGTCTTAGTTTCTTCCTTTGCACAGGTTGAAGCCTTTGATACTCTAACTTTGCCTCAGGGACTCCTGTGCCATTCAGAGCCCTCATTTTCCATCTCAAAGTTTTTAATTCGAAAGATCCCAGTGGGGCCAGACTTTGGGCTTCACTGGGCTATACCAAATTTAAAGCCTGTCCTGGCCCTCAGCAACCTATTTCTCCCTGCAACAGATGTTTCTTTGATTCAGTCCAAGTACCTTCTGTAGGCTCTGATGGCTTGGTTTCTCTGAGCAGGCGTTGCGGTAAGACAGAGGCAGTAAAACTCAGTGGTTATGCGCAGGGGATTTTGGGTTAAATGCGGCTGGGAAACCTGGCTCTGCCCTTCACAGGATGGCCTAGAGGGAGTATGGGACTTTCTGATCCTGCTTTCCCTTTTGTAGAATAGAGAAGAGATCAGTGCCTACCTCACAGAGTTCTGTGAGGAGGATATGAGGAACTCCTGGAGAGCAGGGAGAGGTACACAGGAACTGGTCAGTAAGAAATGGCTGATATTCTGCTTCTGAGATTGACTACCAGAGTAGGAGAATGCCGCCCGTAACAGTTGCCTTCTTCATTTATCGGGACGCTGCAGATGAGGCCATCTTCCAAAAAATGCCCCATTTTTGGAAAGTCTTTTAATTCAAGGCTTCTTGTTTCCTGGAATTATAGCATTTTGCAGCTATAAGAAACCTGAAAATAATCTATTCTGATCCTTTCTTTTTCAAATGAGAAAACTGGGCCCCAGAAGTCTAAGTCTTAGAGGTAGTAGCCCCCCCCTTATTTCCAGTCTCAGCAAGGATCCCCTCTTCCAGCCCATGGTCCCAAAGAGAAAAAGAAGGGGTCATTCTTTTCTTTTCCTTTTTTTTTTTTTAAACCCTTTCTCCAGCTTGTAGTGATTATCGGGTCCTGGACAGACATGACCGCGTTCTCTTTTCTCCCCCACCTCCTTTCTCCCTAAATCCACATTCCAGCCAGTCTCAGCTGCATACACTGTCACCTGTGGGCCAGCCACACTGGCTCTTGATGGAGAGTTTGTGAATATTCTCCCGCTTCTCCCTATTGTCCTTCACATGGCTGCTAACGCCAGGTCTCTCTGTTGTCCCCTCAAATGTTATAACCTCCAGAAAGCCTTCTCTGATACTTTTCTCCCCACCCCCATGACTAGTTAGTCCAGCCCCTAGCCTTGACCTTATCAAACCATTTAGCACAGAGCATTGTATTTGCATCTTCACTGGTCTTTGTCTCCCAATAGAGTTCAGGGCTCTGAGGACAGGGCTGGTGTTTTTCATTGAGTCAATGTCTAGTAAAGATTGGGCCACAGAGTAGGACTTCAGTAAAGGATTATAGAGTGAGTGCATGAATGAACACACAAACTAGAGAGCACTAGTCTGGGATGTGGCTCACAGACACCCTTTCCAAACATCTGGAATTTTTTCCTACAGGTATCATTGGAAATTTTGATCTTGAGTCTATGGGATGCTCCAGGCCAATGTCACTGATTCCTTTTTAAGTTTAAGATTTTCTAGTTTTTGTGGTGTTGGTAGAGAGTTAGAAATAGTCTTCATCTAACAGGTTGGATTTTCTTAACTCTCTTTAGGCTTATATTTTAAATAAAGTAAATTTAGACTAGAAAGGGACAAAAATTTTGTTTAATGGTAATCTGAGTGACTGTTTTTACCATGACTGAAAATTGGTGTGATTTAGGACCACCCAGGTTGATTATTTACACAAAATCTAGAAAACTGTACATGTATAAAGTTACCACTCTGCTGCTTTGGATGTCAGCAGCTTTCTTGGTTGTGGTACTATGGAAGAAGTCTGATTTTAAAATAAATAAAATGGCTACCATTTAAGATTCAGACCCAATTTCAGGAAAAATTGGCTTTAATGTCATGAGGTGTGCTTAAGGGGGCCACCCTGAAGTTCGGTCCTATCCTTGGCCTTCTGCTGAATCGCTGTAAGGTAGGATGGACGGAGGCTTCCTGGCCTGTCCTCACTTGTTCCTTTAATAAGTATGGAGCCGTCTTTGAAAAACTGACTGACAATTCTCAGCTGACAAAATTTTCTTTCTTTGATTTTCCTCTCTGGGTCTCAGCTGTGATTACTCTTCACAAACAGAAATATCATTTGCTGGGAAAGACACCTAGCACATTTTTTAATTGCTAGCACTGCAAAATCACTCCTATCGAGCCATTAAAATAGATTAGGATTCTGTCCTAATTATATAGGGAAAATCTAAACTTTCATGACTAACGTACTTGGTATAGCTCACTGCCTTGGATGGAGTAACAATTTATTTAGTTCAAGGTACAAATTGGTAACAGTTAGGAATTGCCTTAATTTCCAGTAAGCTCCAGTCTAATTGTGCATCTTTCGTGGTCACCTTTGAGTGCTGTTAGCTTCTGTTACATCTAGATGGGCATTTAACCTATTCATATTTGTCGTGATATTGCCTCTTTCCTGAAGAACTAAGGAAGGTAGAAGGCAGAGAATGAGTTATAGAGGCACCTAATAAGAAAAGGAATGACATTTGGAGGTGGAGTTCAGAGGTACAGTTTTTCAGCGTATGCAACATGGTTATGCATGTTGACGTGTGAGTTACCCTCTTGTGCATTTCTTGACTGCTTAATGATTAAAGTTAGAAGACATTAAAAAAAATTCTGTGCTTCTCTGCATAGGACATACCTGACAGAAGTTAGAGATGATATGTCCTACGTTCATTGGGAAGGAAAGGACAAGGCAAATCTTGTTCTGTTCTCTCTGTTTAAGCTCCATGGGAGCCTCTCAGTTTCATTAGCCCCAGCACTCTGTTGTCCTTCAGTAGGTTTTTGTTGAAAGAGTGAAGCAAGGTTAATGAATTTTTTGTTGTTGCTAGGATATCCACATGGCTTTGTTAGGAGCACTGGGTCCCTGGAAGTTGAGGGTACTCCCTCTAGCAGCGGTGCTGACACGGAGCTTGCTGACTGGTATGCAGTTGGCAGAAATTGGCCTGAAGGATATATAATTCGGAAATTCTATAGTTACAGAATAACAACGACCAAAGACAGGTATTAGTTCATTTATTCAGTACATTTTTAAATGGAGCATCTAATGTGTCAGGCCGGGATCTAGAAGTGAGGATACATGGTGAGAGGAATAAAACAATGGACCTGCCCTCGGTAAAGTGGGCAGCCCCGTTAGGGCTGAACTCCTCACTGTGAAGCCATCTTGTTTCCTATTGGCTTCCTAAGACGGATTTTGCTTATCTTAGTTTTTGCGTTTGTGTTTCAGTTGCCATGGTGACTCCCTTCCCTTGGATTTCCTCTGTCCTTCTCTCACCTCTGTGATCTGTGAATGTTGGTTGGGATCCTCACCCCGCAAGGTCCTCTTCCTCACTGTAGGTCTCTCTTGGCCTCCGTTGTGCACGTACACTTTGGAACTTGGTTCAGTAGTTTCAATGTTAACACCGGAAGACAATGTGAACTTTGCTGTCTTCACAGATGGAGATGAAACCGCCATTTCAGAATTTTGGGTTCCATGAGAGTGCCGGAAATCCCCGCGAGCTCTCATTCGCACCCATCAGCCACCATAGTGGCAGTTTTCCCTCTAATGACAGAGAGACTTCAAAAATAGGAGAACATTCTAAGCCTGAGGCACATAATAACACAAGTGTCAAGCCCAGCAGTACGTGCAAAGATGCATTATACTTATGATCAGTGTGTAGGTTATCATCTGGGAGTAAAGTGAAACTTGCATAAACTTTTTCTACTTTAGATGCCACAATGTAAATTGTGCTTTGGGGGCTTGAAATGTACTCTGCACCCTTGAAGCAGATAATACACTTGTTAGGGTACCTAACTCGGGGAGGAAGTTGTGTCTGGTAAGTGGATAATAGGTTTTTGACAAGCTTTAAGACTGCTTCGCTTTTATAAACTAACACAGATTTGTCCCTAGGTAGTTGCACATCAAATACGATGTTACCATGTTTCAGATGTGTGACAAATGCCTTGTCGTAGTAAGTAACTGTGTTAGGAAAAAGAAAAGAGACCTGAACGTTTAATGACCCCAGAAACCCACCACTATTGATGTCACTGTTCTATAAAAACCACAAATGGGGTATAGTCTCTGTCTAAGAGAGGCTTACACAGGAGGTGTTTTTGTTTTTTTTTGTTTTTAACAGGATTTGGGAAAGAAACTTCTAAATGACTTTTCGTTCTATATTTTTCTAAATAATAATTTTTTCCTTTAAGTTAATAGGCTTAATGGAAGCCTATGATACTCAGCATTAAGTAATGCTTATCAATATTGCTCACATGCCTTAATAAATACCGTAGTCTGGTTTATTTTAAACCATGGCAAACTTAGATCGCTGATACAAAGAGTATATTTTACAGTTACAGATTTCATAACCAATTTTATTTTTTAGCCAGAGCCCAATAATCCTTTATTTACATAATTCCAACATGGGGTGTGAATATTACAAACATACGTTCATCAAGAACTGATAGTATGTCTTCCCAGAAGGGACAGCGAGGTCGAAAAAAAAGAAATAGAATTATCTTAAAAATCCATATTCCAGTCAGAAATATTTAGCCCCGATGGTTTCTTTCGAAACTGGGTGAGAGAAGCTTTCATACCATGTGACAGAGGCAGGGAAAAAAAACCTCCAACCAAAAGAGAAATTACCAGGTTAGCAATTATTAAATGGAGCAGTTACAGTGTTTTTTCATCCTTTATGCACATGATTATGTCTATTTAGGGCTTTTGCTTGGTCTTCATGCCATGCATTTACCATTTTCAGTTTGAGCCAGGAAAAGCATACATTTAGTTCTGTTGTTAACTTTTCTTTCTGGCATCTACTCTTTTTAGGCTGATATGCAGCAAAAGAAAGAACCTGTTCAGGACGACTCTGACCTGGATCGCAAACGCAGAGAGACAGAGGCTCTTTTGCAAAGCATTGGGATATCACCGGAGCCCCCTCTAGGTATTTAAGCTGTGCTATTGTTTTCTTAAATTTGCCTTGCATGGGCTATACCATGTCCAGCGTTTATTATTCTTTTATGTCTCTTTTATTTTTATTTTAAAGGAAATTCTGTGGCTTACCGGTTCAGGTGTATTTATTTTTTGAATTGAGGGGGCTGGAAGGAGATTGGGGTGGGGGGACAGACTATAGAGTTGGTAGCAATTTGCTGCTTGTTGACTGATTATGTGGTCAACCTTCTCTACTGCGGACTAGTAGATTATTTTATACTTGTTAGATGAGTTGCCACATGGTAAATACAAGAAATCGTGGAGTTTTTTACTTAGATTTTTCTTCATTTTCCTCACTGAATCCCAGCGTCTCTCTGCCAACCTAAATACTGTGAATCTGGTTATGAATTTCATAACCACCACAGGCATAGAAGGATGCCATGATGAAAATAGAAAGCTCAGTGGGAAATGTGAAGGAAAACTGAAAATAGTGACAGATTAGCAGCTACTTAACAAGTTTAAATTTATTCGACTCTATTGTAGATCATGGTTTCACTGCTAATTGGCATTCTCCCTGCAACTCCCCTCCTCCACCAACTCATTCATTCGTAGTTAATTGTCCATGATCTCGTTTTTGTCAGTAGGGTTTGGATATTGAACTATTTGTTTCATTTGTGTTAAAGGTAAACCTCTACATGATGTGTTTATTCTGTCACTTAACTATATATCTTTCATGTGATAATTTATTTTGTTTTCTTTATCCATTTGCTTTTCATACATTTCAGGGTAATCTTAGGGTGTCTGTAAAACTACATGATACCCAATATAGTTAAAAAAAAAAAAAAGAAGGAAAGAAACTTTAAAAATAATGTATATTAAAAAAGGTAGGATCAAGTCTCCATTTCAAAATGTTTCATTTTCTTTGAATCCCATCATTGACTTTTATATTAAAATAAGTTTTCATTTATTTCCATAGTTACTTAAACGAGGAATAAAAGTTATCCCATGTATGACAAAATGACAAGTATTTTATAAATGTAAATTTAATAAGCCTATGAATTATTTAGTATTGCTGGATATAATCTAATATAGACACACCTAAACCACCATAAAAAAGCATTTTATACTGAACCTCAGTTTGTATTAGGTAAAATCCTGTGTCTCACAATGGTAGAAGAAGCCCCTATAGGATGTTGATTAATCTGTTTGGCTTCTCTATGGTGTAGAAGATGTAACCTGTGGGATGTTTGACTGATGGGCCTTCTTTGAGGAGCTGATAGACTTTTTAGTACTTAGTTGACCTGTGGCATAATTTAGACGTTTTGCAATAATCCATTATAGTTTTGCCTCAAAAAGGCCTTTGAAATTCTGTTGCAGTGTGAGCACTGGTCAAACACCATAGTGATATGTCCTGCTTTCCTCTCTCCTATGTAATGCCACCAATTAAACTCTCAGGACAAAACAGTTACATATCTCTAAACCATGACCACCATGACCGAATTCTGAGCTACCCCTGCATTCGTGCCAGGGCACCTGGCAGGAGTAGAGCCCATTTTCAATTTTCATCCATCTCTCCAACTTACTCTCTGACTTCCTGCAGCGGGTAATCAGCGAATTAATTGTGGGACCACATGAAATTCCTAGTTTCTTGACAGATCCGCCATTGTGTTACAGGATTTGAACAAAATAGTTAAGCCCTTTAGTCTATTAAATAAATAAAAGGAAATTGCACATGATTGAAACCAAATGGGAGTCCACACTTCTGTACTGAAGTTCCTCTCTGCCCATATGGCTTCTTTGGCATGTGGGTATTGAGAACCCATTGAATTCATCTGGCCTGGAGCCATCTTGGCTATTTGGTGCAGCTTCTATCGGAAGGACATTTGGCTTGTACCTGAAGAATAGAGAAAAGGAAAATACATTTGCATTTCCTGTAGCTTTTTTTCTTTTCTATCCTGGCTCTCACATGGTCAGCTTGCACTGACCTCCCTCTTTGAGCTTCTCTCCTGTCTTCAGAATGACAGTTTACTTCTGTGCCCGCGGCTGTGCCTTCCAGGGCTGCCAGAGGCAAAGGAAAACAAGTTCCCGAACCCAGTAAACAATACAATGGGATGAAACTATTAATTAAATGTAAAAATAAAGCAGCCTGGCATTTCCCTTTGTTTTGAAAGAGATTTTTAAATTACCAGGTTCACCGTTTAGCCTTTCTGTATCTGTCACTTAGTCTCTCAGAGCCAGTGCAGTTTGCGTTCCATGGAGAATGGACTGCCCTCCAGTGTAGACATGCAACGGTCTTGATTGACTCTCCCTGGCCATTTAAAATTAGTCAGAATTACTTATTTCATAATCTTTCAAAGTTTTATAGACACCCATTTTACTTTTTAACAGGTCACATCTATGCTAACAAAATAAAGTGGAGAATTGGAATTATCCGGATAGTTCACCCTAGAAAGATATTTGACTTGAAATATCTGGATAGCTGTTTTGATTCTCCATTTCACTTTGTTAAGGTGGACATGGCCTTAGAATCCCGAAGTTAATTTTATCTAAATTCATTTCAAATTTGAATTTCCAAAATATGAAAAATTCACTTGACTTTCTTCCTTTTCTTTCCTTTTTTTTTTTTTTTTTTTTTTTCCTTTATCCCATCTTAATCTCTCCTGGCCATACAACCATTTTAATTTGGGCCCATTTGTTTTGATCTGTCTTACACTGCTCTTCCCCAGTGCAGTCGCTGCATTTTTTAACATGGGATACCTGTTATTTTCATTATTTAGTCCCAACCCCTATGTCTCCCTCCTCGAAATCAGTGAGCACTCCTAGTGAAGCTGGAAGTCAAGACTCAGGAGACCTGGGACCACTAACAAGGTAAGAACTGTCCCTTTACAAAGGCCACAGTGGATGTCAATAATATTAGAAAAGAGAGACCTAAGAAAACCAGTGCCACTCTGTGGTATGCTGTTAAATGTCCATGAATACCCTGCCGGTTTATATTTAAGTTGATGGTGGCTTGCATTTTAGTGGTATAGAAATGAATTTGAACACTAGAAATGATAAACTTAGATGTTTCTATGAATGGGCTAATTGAACACCATGTGTCTTGTTTGACAAACACAAACACATCCATTAGCTTCAGCTTAAAAAAAGAAAGAGAAGGACCAAAGGCAAATGGAATATATATCCAGCTTCTCATTATTCTACTTTGGTTTTGGTTTCCATGGGAATTTTTGTGAACACTGAGATGCTCTAACCCTAAATTTAATTTTTTAAGCATGTTGTTTATTGGCTTAATAGAATTGACTAATTTGAGAACTTGGTCCCCAGAGTGTTTTTATTATCGTTACTAATTTTATGATCATCAGCGCTGACTGTTCTGTTTTGTGAGTCAACTGCCAAATTTTTATTACACTGTGTATACTCAAAGGATTATGAAACTTCTGAAAGTGGACATATAGATATTTTCTAATTTGACCACTGAAGGCGTATCCAAAAGGTAAAGATGTGAAGAGGGAAAAGAGAAGTCTCATTAATATGCTTAGAGTCATGGTATCTTCCTTAATCCAGTTGCCTTCGATAAGATGTCCACATCCTGGGGCACATAGACAGGTGATATAAATGGGCGGGGTGTGGGTTCTGTGGAGACTGGTCAGGAAATGCCCTTTAATAAAGGCCAGATGGTGTCCTCACAGCTCAGGCTGGTTGAGCTCATGTGGGAATGTGGACCCAATTTTTCTACATCTTTCAGTTTTTCTTGAAAAGCTAAAAATTCAAGTTTTTATCCAATAGTCTCCTAAATGTTAAATGTTAATGGCTTTGTTAAGGTAGCTGTGGGCCAGATTTTGCCCGTGGGCTGGCAATTTGTGAACTCTGTCTTTGACTCTTAATTTAAAAAAAATTATGAAATACTTTACTAAAACTTCAAATGAAAGAAGAAAGAATCATCCGCTATATCACTGTTCTAACAAATCAGCCTTTGCCTTGTCTACATACCTTTCAGTCCTTGTGCACCTCTGTACATTTCTTGCTACCATGTGTGTTCCTGGATGTAAGGTATAAAATTTTGGATTTTTCTTTTTCCATTTAACACATTATCATAAGCATTATCTGTTGAAAGTACGTTGTGTCCCTATAGGCCTAGGAAATTTTGGTAGAGAAAAAAGACGGAACTCAGAATAGTCTAGTAGTAGCCCGAGTTGTAGGGTTTGTGTGTGTGTGTGTGTTTCTTTTTTTCTTTTTGAAACCAACATGTAGATAAGACTGGAATTGTCTCACTGTATCTGTCTATTGGCATGTTTCAGAATCAAGTGTTTTGTTTTAATAGGGCATTTGGAAACCAGTGGACACTGCTTTCAGTGTGGGGAGAATGGAAGAAGAGGTTTTCATGGGCACCACGCTGGTTTATTTTAGCAGATAGCCTTTCTGATTTGAGGGCAGCACACGTCTTCTCTCATCTTTTGGTTTGAACACTTCAAAAGGTCTTTGAGGGGAGGAAAAAAAGTAACAATAACACAGTTATATAAGATCTAACATTTGTACAAGAGCTGGCACTATATAATTACATTCCTTAGGGGGTCCACTGGCCTATCATCAAGTTAATATATTTGCCTACTTCTATACAATGCTGGTGTGGTGTCATTAATGCTTCACTTCAAGGGGTGAAGTTGGCAGCATTAAATTCCATTACTGACTTCACACTTGGTGAGCTCTTTTGAAAACTTACTAGAGAAAGTTGATTTATGCTGTTAGTGCTCTGGGGACAACAGCAAATATTTCTTCTCCAGAACAGCACTCTTCTTTTCTTCGCCCACTTATATGCCTTTTTTTTTTTTTTTTTTTTTTTTTTTTCTGTAACTTAATGAATCACTTTGGACGAGGTGAATCACAAATCCCAATGAACTTGAATTCTTGATAGGAACATTCTGGCAAGGATGGTCAATAAGAAGTGAATGAACAAATCCCTTGCTGAGCATGGGTTTCACAGGAATGCAAGAAAAATGGCATTGGGGAAATGATGATTCTCAGAAAAACTGAACACAAATTTTGCCTCAGGAGAAGATATTAGGACTAGCTAGGTAAACCCTGCCCTTATTTTGGACTAAGGAAAATTCCTTGTAAATTCATGTTTTTGGTTCCATACATAGATAGGAGAGTTAAATTTCAGAAGAACAGTATACTTCAGTTTTTAAAATTCCACTTGGAACGTATTTTTCTGTAGAAGAAACATCTTTGAAAACAGTTACTATTAACCTTAACACTTCATAAAACACAGGACTGGGAAAAGAGCTTGCTAAATCCTAAGAGTACAATTCTGTCGTCACAAATTTGCTGAAGTGTGTGGAATTTGGGCTCTTTGAAAATCGGAAAATCTTTCAGAAGATAACTCAGAAATCAAATGAACACATCTGGTCCTACGAAAAGGTGCACATATATTCTGTCATCCATGTGCCAGAATCTCAAACCAAAACTGATATTTTCTCTACAGAGCCAAAACTGACAAAAAGTTCTTATGCAACCCCCTAATTTGCAAATTGGCACACTTAATATGCCCTGTTATACTAAAAAGGTTAAAACAAGGTTTTAACAAAATCAAGTATAAAGAAAATTACTTTTATTGATTTTTAAGATCAGTTGAGTTAATGTTTTAAAATAAGCTAATAGGGACGCCTGGGTGGCTCAGTTGGGTAAGCGGCTGCCTTTGGCTCAGGTCATGATCCCAGCGTCCTGGGATCGAGTCCCACATCGGGCTCCTTGCTCAGCGGGGAACCTGCTTCTCCCTCTGCCTCTGCCTACCACTCTGTCTGCCTGTGCTCATGTTCTCTCTCTCTTTCTCTAACAAATAAATAAATAAAATCTTTAAAAAAAATAAATAAAATAAAATAAGCTAATAGAAGTTAGAAATATATAATCATTTTTCAATTATACTAGTGTAATTTAATTTTAAAGGGTCAGTTTGTTTTGCAATTTCTGCTTCTGTTGCCGTCACCTGCTTCTCATTTACAATTTACATTTGTGGAATTTTTCTTTCTCTTAATTTTGGTAGAAGCAATTAATCATTGCTCAGTTAATCATATTGGGCAAAGAACAAACTCTTAGATATAAAAAAAAATCAATTTTATTAATAAAACATTTGAAAGCCTAGTTTTAATTACAGATTTAAAAATCCTGAATATACTATGTACAACTGAAATCCAACACAATATTAAGAGGGTATTATGCTATGATTAATTAGTATTGATTAAAAAATTCAAGGATATTTTGTTTTGTTTTTTAAAGATTTTATTTATTTATTTATTTATTTATTTATTTATTTTTAAGAGGTTTTATTTATTTATTTGACAGACAATGCAAGTAGGCAGAGAAGCAGGCAGAGAGAGAGGAGGAAGCAGGCTCCCTGCTGAGCAGAGAGCCGGATGTGGGGCTCGATCCCAGGACGCTGGGATCATGACCTGAGCCGAAGGCAGAGGCTTTAACCCACTGAGCCACCCAGGTGCCCCGATTTTATTTATTTATTTGACAGAGAGAGAGAGAGATCACAAGTAGGCAGAGAGGCAGGCCGAGAGAAAGGGGGAAGCAGGCTCCCTGCTTAGCAGAGAGCCCCATGCGGGGCTAGATCCCAGGACCCTGAGATCATGACCTGAGTTGAAGGCAGAGGCTTAACCCACTAAGCCACCCAGGTGCCCCCAAAAATTCAAGGATATTTTAGTATAGGAAAACGTGTTGTTGTAATTCAGCATACAGAAAAGGTCCAAGAAGGAAAGAGTGATCATTGTCGGATATAGTTAAATGATACTTGTGAAATTAAAACACCTATTGTCATATTTTAAAACTTTTAAAAATATTAAGAATAAAAATATTTTTTCTCAAAATGATTAGAAATATTAATCAGAGACCAACAGCCTATATCTTTTATATACCAGAGTGAAGCATTTAGTACTATATAGCCCTTAAAGAAGAATGACTTAAGTTTAGTTGAATACATGTCTTTCTTCCGCAGGAAGTGGCAGGTTCCTTGAAGTCAGGGAGTAAGTGATATTTGAGATTGTATCCATATAGTGAGTTTTTGATAAATGTGGGTTGAATGAATCAACTATTATCCTAATTTTTACAGATGAGGACACTGAGGCACAGAGAAAACAAGTAATTTTTGAAATTCACACAGTGCTAGGTTTTAACCCAGACAGACTGATAGAAATTTTCACAATCTATACCACTACCCCACATGATGTCTGACAACAATTGATATAAGTGATATATACATGACTGACCCCGAAAGATATTATTAGGATTAAATAAATTAATATCTGTAAAGCACTTAGAAAAGAGTCTGTCGTATACTAAGTATATGTGAGTTTTAGCTCTTATTGTTGGTTTTTTCTTTCTTGCAATTTATTCGTCATGCTTTTCCAATGGAAAGAGATAACATAAAACATGTTGGTGTCATTTTCAAATTTGATAATGCTCTATGTTCATACAAGTAAGTATGTGAAAACATTGAACATGACAAGGCCAAAGACAGATTGTGGTCTGTGTCCCTGGAGACCACTTCTTGGGTTGCCCAACTCTTAATGCCTAACCTTCATATATTCCACCAGAAATGATTATCTAGGTAATAATAATCGTTCGCCCACATTTATTCTTCTCCTTCCCATGAATTGCTCATGGAGGGCTTTGCACTAGGGCCCTTCTCATGTTTAGTCAAGATTCCTTATTCTTCTCAGTGATACAGCTAAACTGAAGGCCATACTAGCCTGTACAAATCTAGGAAAGTGTGTCGACCTCGTCAAGGTCACCAGGCCACCAGTGTGGAGGCAACACCCTGTCCCAAACCTGATTCAAGGAAGAAAATTTTCCAAGTGATTTAAAAAATA